GATGAAAGATTTAAGAGAAAGTGAATACTTGATCTTGATTTAAAAAAAAACATCCAAATTATACAGCAAATCTAAATAACATACAAAAATATATTGCTTCTCTATAGCTCTGTTTATTTGACTTTAAAAGGCTATAATAAAGGTACGGTAATTATAACCCCTTGTTTATTTTTATTGGATCTAGTTAAATCATAATCTAATTTTCTACAGAAGGCTGACCTCAGCTGACTGGATCACGTTATACTTCAGTTGATCTTTCTACAAAGTAACCGACTACCTTCCATGTCCACATGAAGAAAAGTATTCCCACAGCATAATGCTGCCTCCCAATATTACTGTGGGGATATGAGCATTCAGGATACTATTTTAGTTTTTAACTGGGAATATCCAAGTAAATTGGTTTAAAATGGATTTCACACATTTTGTTTGTAAAACAAAAACATTAAAACATTTTTACTTCACCCGTCATGCAGAATGTTGCATTATTCTATTGCATAAAATCCTCAAATATGTTTGAATGTGTGGTAAAAAACTGATAAACTATTAGACCCTCAGCGTCTTACCTTTTTAACGGGATTTGAAATTTTGAATGTTTTTTTTTAAATAAGAAATCTTGATCATATCTGATATATAAAGCAGATATGGGTTGAAACCTTCAAAACCAAAAGGCTTCTTCATTTGATTATATTTTGTGCTGTATCAAAAATAACATTTTCAGTGTACAACCAATCCTTTGTTTCACCAGCGATAGTTTCGACTGTCCCGGAGCAGGAGCAGTATAGAGGCAGACTGTTGTTGTTATCAGGCTCCAGAGTCAGGACTCAGCTCCATAACCATCATAATATTCCCTCCTTATGAACACACAATGAAAAGCAGTGCTGATCTCAGATGACCAGCTCCTCGCCCCTCATCTCCTCTCCTCCTTGATCTTTCCACTTTGTTTGCTTTGCTTTATTTTCTGTTTTTCCAGCCACCCTCCCCCTGTAATTTTTTCGTGCAAAGAATAAAATTTCATCTGCGCGGGCTCTGGGAAAAGCAGCCCTCGGATTGGCCCTTGCCCGTACAGATGCTTTAAATTTACTCGGGTTTTTCTGCCTGCTAGCAGAAGCATGGATGGAGGAGATGGACGGAGGGTTGGAGGAGGGCCGTGAAACCTGCCTGTATTTCCTGAGGATTAGGCATCAGATGGGCGCCCTCAGAGGAGGTCTGAGGTCCTGGCCTCCCTGGATGGCTGGGAAACTGACCCCCATCTGACTCTGTGGTCTTCACTGCATGAATACTGCCTCCGGGACACCCTGGATTTTCTTCAGCCATGCAAACTCAGTGCCAACTTCATGGTAGACCCCAGAATTATGTAATAGTTTGTTATTCTTTAGCATTTAACGTTTTTACGATACTTTTTTACTCAGCCTGTTTTTTAAATTCCCCAGCATAAAAAAATGAAGTCAATTGTAATGTTAGCTGGACCAGATTAATCTGAAAACATTAACAACAGCAGATCTGAAACCGTTAAAGCAAACTTAAAGCATTACTCTTTTGAAAAGAATATCAACTTTAAATTATTCACTTTTGTTACATTTGTTCATTTGTAATGTGTTGTTTATATGCTGCTGAACTGCAAGCAGTGCTTTATTAAGAGGTCCTGGCAGCAGTATTCATGAAAATACAGGATCTTAGAAAAAGTATGCAAACCTTGGAGCTTTTTCACATTTTGTCCTAATGTAACCAATAATCTCAATATCTTCTGTGAAGACAGTGTAAGATTGCACAATCACAAAGAATCTAATGCATGCTGAAAAGATTTATTTAAATGTAAAAGCATGAAACGTGTTGCACGCTCCTGGGTTAATAAATACTTTTTTCTCTTTTTTTGTTTTACAGGCTGAGAGGTTTTCTCAGGGTTGATGAAAAGCATCCCCACAGCATTATGCTGCCAACACCATGTTTCACAATGGGGGTAGTATTTTTTTAAACTGATGTGCAGCGACCTCCACCTAGGCCTAAAGCGTTAAGCTTTACACTTATTGGACCAGAGACAACAGATAGAAACAAAATGTGAAAGGAAGCAAAATGTATTAACAGCCAAGCCAAGCTGTCATTTTGTGAAGCTACACACAAGATCAGGGGAATGTAAACGAACACTAAAAAGCATGAATGGTGTCTGAAAATCAACTATTAGCTGGAGCATTTGGAGGGCCCCTATTTTTTTTTATTTAAAGTAGGCCAGATGGTCGTATTAAACATACACACAGCAACCAACACCATGTTGCAAAACAGTACCTGACACTATAGCTGCACCTTCCTTATTTCACTTATTGACTTCTGCTATAAAAAAAATAAATAAATAAATAAAACCAGCTGTTTCCCATTTAACAAACACATTTGGATTACAATCAACAAAACTGATAAGGGTTGTAATTTAGCTCATATATATATATATCTATATATATGGTGTGTATCATAGTAACCAGGTTTGCAGAGACATCTCTTCTCTACTAATAACATACTAGGACTCTGTGAAGGAGAAGCTCACACTGTTTAGACGAGAGGCAATGATTGTATCAGCACAATGTGCAATAAAACTAATCCTTATCTTAACTACAGACATTAGTTTGGTTAGGGGTCTCTTTATCAGTAAAGATTATTAGTTTTAAAAGGAGAGAATATCTGACCTTAAAATACCTTATTTGTTTCCAGATAAAAAAAGGCAACAGACGATGGTATAAAACTCCATGTTTGCAAATCCAGTCAAGAGAAGTTACACAGGTTTATATTGATAGTTAAACATTAGTTTTTTTAAACCCTAAAACACAATTAATTGCCTGTCCACATTGAGGAGTCCTGCTATTCTATATTAAAAAACAGCCGGATCTCAACTGCTCAGCCATTAATGTCAAAATATCATAACTCGTCTCAGAAATAAAAGTTTTGCCAGTTTTCCATAAACATTCTTTATTCCTCAGCACCCAGGAGCAACCATAAGGAATATGTTATGGAGCATTTCAAAATATTTTTAAAAAGTTTGTAAAATGCCCCAGAAAAAAAAAAATGGTTTAATTGAAAACTATAGAATTTCTTTAAAAAGCATGCCAACACAAAATCTATTTATCACTCTGCAGGAAAGTGGATCAGTGAAAAAATTCAGGTTAAGCAATTGTGCTATGCAGACATTAAAGTAAAAAAGAGACTTGAAAGAAATGAGAATCAGATAAAAATACTTCAATTATGTTTTTTTCTTTTTTACTACAGCAGCAACTTTTCACGTTCAAACTAATAATCCTACATTTGAGCAAAATTAGGTGGGGAAAGAATATAATTATAAAACCATTTTAAACTGTATCTATAATCTATATAAATCTATATATCTAACACTGGTAATCTGTCCAAACGGCTAACAATGGCCTCCATTAATCGTCTATTTAATCTTTTCACTGTTTAAAAACACAAATTCATTTTCCTACTGTAGCATAAAGGACATCTCTATTCTATAAGTAACTTTTCATTAGCAAACTATGACTTGCAGTTTTCTTGGGATTATAACCAAGATGCTACACTGACATTCCTCTTATTCATGCTTCAAAATAAGAAAGAGGCAAAGTGTGCAATTATGACAAAATATGCTGATATTCTAAAGTTTAAGCTCTATTAGACACATTTCAATAGAGAATTTTCTGCTATGTCTGTACCTCCAAAATAAGCTTACTCTTATAAACCTACTTTGATACACATAATTTAGTACAAATGCCAAAAATACTGGGGGTTACATTGGATGAGAAACTGGAGACTAATGAATTGAAAGAAACCAAGAACTTGTGCTTCATTTGTCAAAAGAAATTTAAAACTAAACAGTGAATTTCCTCAAGCTTCTTATATTTGACGTTTGAAGGCCCAATATCTAATGAATCTGACACAAGGTCTACTAAGAAAAATCTGTTGGATCTAAACTACAAACTCAGAACAAATGTGTATTAAATATCTAGACTATTGTTATATCCTGCTTCAGTTTAGTAATTTTCCATCAAAACATCTTTTTTTAGGAATGAATCCAGTTAAAACCACAAAATAATTTGACAAATTTACTGATGTTTTTAAAGTATTTTTTTTTATTTCCGGAGTGTATACAGGTCTTTTTTTTTTTTGTAGAATCATCAATTGTAGGAATTCTTTAGAAAGCGTTAAACAATTTCTCACATAAGAAAGTCAAGCTGTTGAAAAGTCCGAATGCCGACCTGCAGTTGGGTATCTCCACGTATGAGGTCCTTCATTCCCAAATCCAGCTCAAATCGGATCCATCCATGTGCACTCAGAGGTTTGCTGCTGAATGAAAGAAAAAAAAAAACGAAGAGAGGACCGACACCCATCTCTGATGACAGAGAGCCATCTGGTGGCGGCTGAATGTTAGCAGCAGCACCAGCCTTCGCTTCCAGCAATATCATCTTTTATGGCTTAACGAACACATAAAAAAATTATAAAACTAATAAAATTAAAAAGGAACACACACAAAACAATCTTACACGACTTTTTTTGTTCCAAATCTTGTGCCGTTTTATAATCAGGGGGGAAATAAAACAAATAAAATTCTGTGTTACAGCTTAATATTTGCCCATAATGCTTCACAAACACTCCTATCTATATGAACACTTATAGGAACACACAAATAGAAACAAAAGGTGTTCTGCAAAAACCTGAAATCTTCCAGTTATCAACTTTTAAAAGCTGTTTGGGACGACTTTTTCAAAGTTTTTGCAGCGCACAGAGAAAATACTTTGCCTGTCTAAACAAAAGGCAAGAAAAGTGAGATATGCAACACACAACACAAGAACTTAGCCTAGTACACTGATACTGGAGTCTCCTAAAGACCAAAGCGGACCAACGTGAACAAATCTTTACCTTTTTCTTTATACAGTACAACAGACGTCCCAAACCGATACCAAAAAAACTACAACACAGTTAAATGTGATACTGAGTTCGATAGAAGGAGAATAGATGTCTTTTTTTTATATCCTTACTGCCTTGACATGCATTGACCCGTATCGTCGAAACCTCTCTAGAAGCCTTGTGCAGCTATATCTCGTATTTTTTATGGTATTTATATATATATTCTGAAAACTAAATGGTAATCGTTGGTTTCGCATTGTGCTGCATTGTTTTGAGTAAAAAGATCTTAAAAAAAGAAAAAACGCACGTCTACAATTAAACACCAGAAGTGACGAGTAAATAAGGAATTAAAAACTATAGAGTAAACAAAAAAACAGGATGCAAAAACCAAGTTCCCGGCCTTTACATGTCTCCTTCTTTTCTTCATTTCTAACAGATCGCCAGTTAACACTTTCCTCTCTCTCTCTCTACGAAAGAAAACAGAAAGCAGTGGGAGAGGGGCGACAAGAGGAGATATCTTCCGTGCTTTAACTGGTCTCCAGCTTGGCCATTTCCTGCACGTAGATGCCGATGCTCTCGCTGTCGAACAGCACAAAGTAGACGGTCTTGATGCTGGAAGACATGGTGGCGACAAAGTAACTGGAGATAGCCTTGAGGATGAGCTGGGCCGCGGTCTGCTTGGGGAAACCGTTCCTGAGAAGATCAATCAGACACAAATGCTGAAATCCAGGAGCAGAATCCGTAGAAATCAGACGACATTAAAGCTATGGCTAAACGATACATAACAAAGCTAGCTTTTATTGTGACATCACCGCAGCCGTATGGAAAAACAAAAAAAAATGATAAATTGGTTCATTAAATTGAAATCTAAGCAATATATAATTACTTATTTATATTTCCTATGAAATCAACAAATGTACATTAAACAGTTGAATATATATTACTAAATGAATACACAACATAAATATACTTTATTTGTGAAATGCACATTTATATGATTAAATATCCCATTAAGTACGCCCTTAAAATATAATATCTAATAAATGTCAAAGCATTTTTCATTAAAGTAAATCTAATTATTTCACCCTTTTTAAATTAAGAATAAAATTATTTCTTGTCATTTTAAGGGGATTGCCAGTCAGGGCATGCTAGTGTTGAGGCTCACAGGTGGCAATGTCTAGGAACTCCAGCTCTATGTGGTAAACATAGACTGCTGTTCATGATAACTAATGCTAAATATCTTTAACTTTGTTTAGAAATGACAGTATAACCCTGCTTGTCTGCACCCAGATCTCTCTCACAGTGTGATGTCTCCTTGCTTTTCAATATAAATAATAAAAACCCACCAAAGTCTGAAAGAGGGGCTTATGCAAAAACAACAACTGAATAAATCCATAATCACACATCTAAGGGGGGACACTACATCTTTTTTCCCCAACAAATAATAGGTTGAGGATTCTTTTTTTGTTTTTTGAAACAAATAGTAATCTTTTGTATGCATCTTAAAAAGCTGTGCTGTAACTGGTTTTATAGGTACAGATAACGCCTCAGAACACCAATAAACTGGAGGACTTTACTACACCAGCAGAACAAGACGCTGAAGGCTCCTTGGTTTATTTTGCAAAAGACAACTTTTATGAAGCCATATCAATTTTCACTTTAGAAAGGAAAAACAAAGCATCTGCATCTATATTGGAATATTTTCTATTGTGTTTTTTTGAGGGAAATCAAAAGTGGGTGAAAGTGTGAATCCTTCAGCCTGGAGCTTCTCTTATGTTGACTAATAAATCTGTTCATTATCAAAGAATCACTAAAGGAAAAGCTGATTGGGAAATGGCTGAATACAGAATCACTGTTTATACACTGCATTTCAATCAACTGATATATTTCTTCATCAAGGAATGAGTCTGCAGTCAGAGTTTACAAAACAACAAATTTTGCACTCTTAGAAAATGTTTTGAATATATAGATATTTATTTTTATATGAAATCTCAACAGCCAAACTTCATTTTTTCTGAGAAGCACAAGAAGAATAAAAGGAACAATGTTTGCCATGTTAGTGGGGTTTCTAAGTATTACAGGTCCCTACCTGCCACTGCCAATGGAAGGGAAGGCCACAGACTTGAGTTTCTTCTCATCTGCCAGAGCCAGACAGTTCTTCACCGTCTTCTCCAGCATCTCCTCGCACTTATCAGAACCCCAGCCTGGACTGTTGCAGTGGATGACGTACTTGGCGGGGAGCCCGAAACCACCGGTCAAAAGGGCTGAAAGGAGGAACGGTAAAGACGGTTAGTTGGGTGGAGGAAAGATAAAGGCAACAATCTCCACATTCGTTGACCGATGAGGATGATTTAACTGAAACATAACATTGGGAATATAAAAACAAATGCACATTTCTTAAATATTGTATCTAAGATTTAAATAAAAAGAATTAATTTCTGGTTTTAATGTGGGTTTAAATAAAAAAAAAAAATCAAATGTAGATTAGCCTAATATCAACCCTGGTAAAGATGTGGAACAGGTGGACAGCCCACCCTGGACTGGAAGGTGTTTTATTTATTTTTCACTTTGGAGTGGCCAACTTTCTGTTGTTCCTACCTTTGATATACCAATGGTACCATTCAACCAATCCAACCAGGAGGCACTGTGCTAGCCAACCACAGATAGAGGGGGCGGGTTACTGAGGCAGCTGTGATCACCATAGTTACTGCTGCATCAATATTGTGACTTTTTTCACAAGAAAGAAGCATCACAATTGATTTCTGTTGGAAAGCTAAGGTTTGAGGTCAAAAATGGATTTAACATTCAGGTCAACAGTCCATGAAGAGGGTTGGAGGTTCAGTGGATTTTCAGGAGGGATGTTTGGTGTCTGCCATCGAGTGGGGAGGGTGGTGGCTTCAGAGCTTTGGGACATAAACTGTTCTTGAGTCTATTTGTTTCTAATGCAATAATTCTGAACTGGGGCAAACAGTCCAGTGCATTGCCCATGTGGTGCAGCTATAGTTATTTCATAGTTACAGCCTCAAATAAGTGTTTGTCGGTGTGTATATTTATGCTCATTTTTACTTCTGCCTTATTTGAATGGACACAGCATTATTTTTTTAAGATTTTATATTCGATATTCTCTCAGTAGCACTGTAGGAGAGGACACAGAGCAGTTAAACCTGAACAAAATCTGTCTAAAAAGTGTCCCCATCCTCCCCCAATTTGTTTCTGTAGTTGGTTCTGTGGGAGAGCATCATAGCTGTAACAGCTTAGAACGGGGGTCTTGAACTTGTTTTTATACGGCACCAACTTAGCATTATCAAGTAAATGGTAAATGGTAAATGGCATGTACTTATATAGCGCCTTTATTCAAGTCAGGAGACTTGACCAAAGCGCTTTACACTACATTCATTCACCAATTCACACACACACTCACACACTGATGGTGGCAAGCTACATGGTAGCCACAGCTGCCCTGGGGCTCACTGACAGAAGCGGGGCTGCCGTACACTGGCGCTACCGGGCCCTCTGACCACCATCAGTCTTTAAAAGTGTCCTTTGCAGCTGTATAAATGAAACTTTTGGTTTAATAATTTCATTTAGAAAGAGTGCACTGATTTTGTGTTACTTTACTCTTATTTATTCTGCAGTTTGAGTCACTTTGTACACTTAAAAAACATATGCCTTCATTTTACGACATTGTCTGCCTTTTTTTGTCTCTTGATGGCTGGATAAATGGTGGTGAACTGGATCCTACACACATGTTGAAAAATCTTGGAGGATACAGAAAGAGGGAACTTTGATCTCTCTTTTTCACAGTCATTCTCTTAGTCCAGAGTTCTTGGACTGAGATGAAGGATATTTGATTTGATTCGGTCATTATCCTGATGAAAGGCCCACTGATCCATTATTAGCTCACTGGCTGCAGATATTACATTTCTTATTCAAAATCTTGCAGTATTTCAAAGTCTTCATTATACCATGCACATAAAAAAAAATATTATACCAGCCTTAGGATGACAACCAGGCACAAAGCATCACAGATCCAACATCCATAGTTAAGAACAGGCAGGAGGTGTCTTTCCACCTCTCTCCACACTAAAACTGCTTCAATTGTTTGCAGATGACTTTGTTAAACTCCAAAGGTTTTGGTTTCTCTGAAATACTGATGAAGGTGATCAACATTCATCTTTCTTTTGTGCACATGCATTAAAACGGGTTATTTCACTATTGGTGAGGCGAAAAGAATAATGACTGAAATTAAAATAATCAGAAGGATTAATGAACAATAGTTATTCTACATTTTACAAAAGAATAAACATAACCATTCCATTCAATAATTAATTACAGACTGAACCCATAATGCCAGATATCCAGACCTGTATGATTTTATAAGCAAAAAACTGAATGATGACACTGTAAGCAATGCTACTGTTTGGAAAATAATCTGTTTTTGAAGTCACTGTATTATTCTGAAGATTGCAACCATCTGACTAAAAGTTACCTAAAGTAGGATATTGCTGATAGGCTCCTTGTTTCAGAAGAACACTCACGATTCCTTCTGCAGGCCGTAAAACCATTAACGACTTTTAAAGCCTTCCTTGAGTGCTCCAGTTTGTAGGACTTTAAATGTTCAAATAAGAACCTTGAAATAGACCCAGAACGTTGATATCCCTCGTTTACGGAGTGCCAGGGATGCTGTGTAAAAACCTTAGAGTTTTAAATATTGTGTGTTATAACTAACTGTAGGAAGTTTATTCCAGAAATATGTCAAACTAGTTACAGTTTCCTCTGCATCATGAATTCAATCAATACAGCTTGTGTCATAGTGGAAGTTGGTGCTAAAGCCCGACATGGATCGTAACAAGGCGACAGTAAAACATCCTGATTCTACAGTAAAACCTTAAACATAAGTTAAGGCTAGGGCTGCAACCAATGATTATTTTGCTAACGGATTAATATGTTGATTATTTTTTTCGTTTAATAATTGGATAGCAAAAGGTTTTTTTTATCTTAAATGTAAAATATTGATATATGTTTTTACAATTTTGGTGTAATTGCTGCTCTAAGTGGGTTTCTCACTCAGCTAAAGGCATGTTTCAGAGTCTCTACACTCCAGTTAACGATTCATCGATTACTAAATTAGTTGACGATTATTTCAATAATCAACTAATCCAATTAATTTTTTCAGCCCTATTTATTTACATATCTTCCAGCAGGGGTGTTGGAAGGGTCGAAGATGGAACCAGAATACCTGAATACATCAATAAATCAACATCTAGTATATTTTTAAAGAACCCAAATTAATAGTCATATCTAAATAAATAATAACATCAAACCATCACACCATTTAGCAAATAAGACGTGCTGCTTAAAACACGGCATTCAATGAGGGACCTAAGCTGTGACAAAATGAAATATAATTTCATATTTCACTTATCATCGTTGTTTAGTGGATAGATGATAAATTGATGCTTAGATAATTTTTTTTCTCGTTTGGTAATGTTTTTTTTTTTCCTTGGAAAGGGGGCAGGTATTTTAAAAATGTAATTCTTACTACAAGAGCTGGGCAATTAATTGCATTTGCAATCTAATCTTTGTTGGGTTTTTTTTTGTTTGTTTTTTTATTAATTTCTTCTATTTTCAAAAAAACGAAGAACCATCAAATCAAAGCCCGATCCCAGGCCAACACTCACCCCAACCATATGAGGAGGTCTAACCCACCACTGCTTTCAGAACAAAAAAAGACTAGGACACTGAGGTCAAGTTGCATGCACAGCTCCCCTCCCCACCCTAACTCTGACAGTATGTCCCCTCTAGGGGGAGCGTCTGTGAGATGCTGTTCCTCACTAGTTCAATGGTCCCAGTGCCAGCAGGGGAGCCGATGGACCCCAGAGCAGGCTAGCCACCAGTCAACAAACCAGGCGGCCAATAAGTCCAGAAACAAGCCCCCAACCACCCAGCAGGGACCCCACCCAAGGAAAGGCTAGGGCTCCCCAGGTCTCCCCAGTTGCACCCCAGATTCCCCCGGCATGACGCGGCGCCAGGACCATGAAGTCCCATGGCTCCATATGCCCCAACTATTTAATTATTTTTAAATTAGGATTTCCAGTCATGTTAAAGGTTCTCTGACAGATTTTAGACCAAACATTTTGATCAACCCCAACTGATAAATCTGTTTCCCATTTTCCAGTGAAAGGTGAATAAACTGAATATTTAATTATTTTTGGAGGATCATTTGGTGGCATTTGTAGATCTTGCTTCATTAATGTTGAATCTGCCTTTGTTATAGACCTGATCTATTGATATTGTTGCATTCTAGACACATTCTAGACAAACATTTCTCCCTCCAGCCCTTAAGGAAATATGCTTAAAGTGAATTTGTTGCCACACAGAAGGGGAGAACTGAAGCTAGCATGCAAATCCCGGCACGCAAATGGAAGTCACACCGAGTAATAGTGAAGTTTTTCACGATAAACTCTGGAGAGGCAATCTTTTAAGGTTATGAAAAAACTGAAACCTTAAGAAAATAATCTACATGCTTGTGGTTATTGCAAAAGAAAATCCCATATCGCAATACTAGTTAAAAATAATAGATATTCTATGGTTTTGGCAAAATCATTACTTTCAACTCCTTTACATTCCTTGTTCTGCTTCTCTACACATACATGCATAAATTCATGCATAACATTTGCATATTATTTGTTAAAAACAAATAAATCTAATCACAAAAAGGCAAAGATTGAAAGTTAAATATATTTTCTAAAAATGGGTGGGAAGCCAATACATCTTTAAGTTTCTTACATCTGTAATGATTTAGTTGACTCAAACAATGACTGCACTTTTCACAGCTTTTGCCACATCACAAAGTGCTCATCAGTTAAAATAAGCCTTATTAACCCATTTTGTTGGAAGTAAAACCCCAAAAGTTGAGTTTGGAGACCATAGGCACTAAATGAGCACTTTTCTGTGTGGGAAAAATAAGTGTGAGATCTCCAGGAGCTTAAGCTGGTTAAACCAAGGTGTTAGAGAGGAAACCCACTTCTCCAGGGAGCTGAAGAAATAAAGGACAAGGGAACAGAGTCTGCTCTCTAGAGTTTGGTCCTCAGTTAAGTCTTCCATCACCCCAGCAGCTGTAAAAAAGTGAAATTCAGCCAAAGTCTTTGACTCTGCGGTGCGAGAAAGCCTTCAGTCAGAGTTCATTAGCCAGCAACAAGCGTGTGAGGGGACTGCACTCGAAGCTGAGGACGAGCTCATTTCCAGATGGCCCCAAATCAAAAGAAGAAAGATGATGGAGATGATGGAGTCACTTCACACCGCAGAACCATTCAATGCTTAGGCCTGCCTGAGGGAAACTGAGACTGTTTCATGGTTAAAGCGTGTGGTGCAGCAGAACTATCTGTTCCTATTTTTTTCCAAACAGCTAAACTTTGGAACAATCACAAAGAACATGCTTCCTTTAAAAGCAACAAAAGGTCATTCTTATATAAATATCTGGCATCATTTACAGTTCTGTGAATTCTCTTTCTCTAAAATCCAAATAATGCAGAACAATACAATCGCCTGCAGTGTTTAATTAAGATTAAAATAAATGTAGCTTCGTTCTTCAACTTTGTCACAGATGTACTTTGTTAGCTTTTCTAAAAGAACAAAACTAATTGGCCCTGGAGAATAAAATAATCAGAATTTCAACATTTTTTTTCAAATATTTACTAGAAAAAAGCTTTGATAATCTAAATCTTAAAATTCAATTTCAGTTATTAAAAGGTAAAAAAACTGACTAGACTAAAACCAATAAGAAACTAAAAAAAAAAAAAAAAAAAACCACACACACACACACACATAATAAATAATATAATCACTGTGAAAATATCCAAAAATCAGAAGGAATTTTGACATTAAAGGTCTTTTGGTGAATTGATCTTACTTACCTCTTAGAGGTCATAATGCTATGCCTAAACAGTACAATCCTATATAAAGTAATTTTTTGCAAGTGCCTAATTGGGTT